CCTCGTGATCCGCCCATCTCGGCCTCCCAAAGTGCTGGGATTACAGGCTTGAGCCACCGCGCCCGGCCCAATTTATATATTATTGACAAAAGTCAGCAAAACTACTGATCAGAATATATCCTTAGTACAAAACTGGTGGTGATTTGCGTGTTGATTACATTTTCTAGGATAAGATCACCAGTCACTTCTTCAAGGCCATTGATTTCAGATAGTCTCGTGTTAGCCTGTCTGTCGATTCGCTGGGAAAACATTGATTATGATCTGCCATGCCCATGTGTATGGAGGACACAGTGAGGCCCAGGAGTTGGCCCTGGTGCCTGAGGCACTCAAGGCAGAGCTGTGGGACTGAGAGGGAGGGTCTTCACTCCGGAGGAGGTACTCAGAGGCAGCTCCCGGAGGGCTTGTGTGTGGAGTGGGCATGATTGGACACTTGGAGTTTGGGGTGGAGAGAAAAAAATGTGGGCAGAGGTCTGAGGACAGGAAGTTAAGGCCACGTTTATGGGTTCTTTGGAATTGAAGCCACTAAGGAATGTTTTTAGTTTTGTTTTCTCTTGAATTTACAGTCAGGGCCAGTCTTCTTAAGAACCCTTAACTACGTAACAAGTAACTGCTCCTTGTTCCATAGGACAGAAACCCAATTCTTAGGAAGTAAAAGCATAGTATGGTGGACAGAACCCTGCACTTTTTTCCTGACATGACCATTGGTCAACCATGTGATCTGGAATGGACATTTACCTTTCTGGACTTCATTCTTATCAGCTGTAAAATGAGGATAGTGTTCTAGCTTTGAACTTCTCAAACTATCTGTGGCTAAATGATTTTTGCCAGTCTGTCACTGACATTACTAGAAAAATGATCCTGTACTTGGATATCAGCAGGGTCCAACATCCAGTAACATTTTGGTGCTGTGCAAGTTTGTAGGCACTTGCCCTCTGTTCATCTCATTGAGGACAGGTGGTACTTTGTGGGCCATCAGTGGTTTCCAGACCCCACTCTGGGTGGCCCATCCTGGATGACCCACAGGATCCACCAGCTCATAATGGTTCTTCCAGTCTCCGGAAGAGTGGCATGCGAGTTTATGGTCACAGATTCATAATAAAGAGTAGGTTTAAAGGGAAAAGATGTTTATTTTCTCTCTTCCAGCATTTATTCACTTAATTTGTTCAGTTATTTTATTTGTGGCTACTTTGCTCCTCTATTCTGTGCCTTCTCTCATTTTTTTTTCCAAAGTGGAATAACATAATATTTTTTCCAGATTAGGAATCCCATCTTTTTTCCATATTTATTAAAACAATAAATGTTCTTTTAAAAATGCGGGAAAATTGCTTTTGTAAATCATTTTTAATCCAAATAAAAATGTATAAAGAAAAAAGTGAAAATCACCTATCCCACCACTTAGACATCACTGTTATCATTCCCCCTTCCCAGGCATTTTTACAAATATATACAAACATATATCAACACATATATTTTTAATGGGACTTTTTTTTTTAAACAAAAATGAGATTTTAACAAAAAATACTGTTTTATAAGCTTTTCCACCCGTTTCACAAAATAACATGGACCACTTCCCATGTCAGTAAATATAGATTTCCATCACTTTGTGCTCCATATTTTGTTACATGGCTGTTTCCTGCACATTTTAGCGTTGATATGATAAGAATCATTTATGTCAATCATTGTTGAAATGCTTCCTCTCTTATCTACCATGAGGCCTTACCTCACATCCACTCCAAAGTGATAAGAATTTCTGTGAACTTTATGAAGTGTTAAAACTCTGGAAAGTTGAGGGAAATAATTTTGAAAAGTGTGTCTCCTACTTGAGCCCTCATATACCATACGATGAGAATGTCATCACTATGTTTAACAAGTGTTCACTGTGCTCCTAAACTGTACCCATGCCTGTGCTAGATCTGTGGTGGGTTGCATGTCAGATGAGTCTGTGTGAGACTCGGGCCCCTGAGAGTGTGTGGTGTCATGGCAGGAATTCCCTGCCCAGGGTGCCCTGAGGAGCAGCAGTGCCCACAGCCCAGGGTGTTCCCCGTGGAGTCAGGGAGCTTAAACTGCAGGCCCTCATTTGCATTGCCTCTGTCTAATAAATTTTTATTTTTGCATTCATTTCATTTTCACAGTTTTTTGGTTTGGTTTGGTTTTTTGTTTTCTTTTTTGTATTTTTTTTTTTAGTAGAGACGGGATTTCACCATGTGGGTCAGGCTGGTCTTGAACTCCTGACCTTGTGACCCGCCCACCTCAGCCTCTTGAAGTGCTGAGATTACGGGTGTGAGCCACCGCGCCCAGCCCATTTTCACAGTTTTATATCCTCTTTCTCAGAAAGTTTACCCCAAACTGTATAAGCTTCTGGCCCCACATTCTGGATCTGCCCCACTGTCACCATTCTTTATCCTTCCAGCCAAAGAACAATGTAGTTTATCTATACTTGATCCTTATTTTCTCACTTCCCAGGTGCTCTTCAAATCAGTCTAACCTTGGCTACCTCCATTCACACAGCTAAAACTACCCTCACTAAGATTATTCACTTACACAGCAGTCGATATGATGGACACTCTAACTTTCCGTCTGCCTGACTTGGCAGCATCTCTGTATATGTGGCCCCTCCTGGCTTCCTTCAGTTTCTCTGGACTGCACTGAGGCCACTTTACCTCCATCACACACTTAAAGGGCAAGGTCAGCTGCTGGGCAGCCCTGGAATACCTTGGGGCGCATCACAGAGTCTGTCCTGTTGCCTAGTGGGATTGCTGTTTGCAGCAGCTCTATCTCTTGGGTGTTTACTTTGCATCTCCGAAGGAAGAACTTAGATCATGCCTGAAAACACTACTGAGCAGAGCTCTGTTGTGTGAATGGTTTGAGAGATGTGCAGTTAACTGAGTCTTGACAGTTGAGATTTTTTTTTTTTTACATAGTAGGCACATTCTTAGGGAGTTCTTTGAACTTAGAACCCTATCAAACTAAGGTTTTGATCAATGTTTTGGTTTTACTTTTGAAGTTGCCTTCTCTATAACTTCCACAAGAAATGCTTGCTACAGCTATTACAATGTTTAGCACACAAGACTCCTTATGGTGGTGTTCACTGATTCTCAGCTGCAAATAGGCATCCACTTGGAAAAGAACACCACATTCTCTGTGCACAGGAGGTTGATGAAGGAGAAAGACAAGCTGGTAGAGTGGGACCCTAAGCATAATGAGAGCACATGGAGCCAGCCCCAACCAGGGGACACACAGGGGGTCTCCTGAGGAGATGAGGGAGGAGGAAATAGCTGAAAAGATGAGGACGGGCAGACGGACAGGGAGTAGCCAAGCCATCCATGCAGGGTCCATGCCAGCTGGCATATCCAAAGAGATGCTGTTTTCCTTTTATTCTCTAAGCAGGCGGGACAGTCAGTTCCAAAAGTGATGAGGACAAAAAGTGGTGTCTGTGAGAAGTGAGATGGCCTGCATGGAGCACAGGGGAGGACCTAAGTGAGCAGCGGGGAGCCCTGAGGCTTGCCTGGTTTTTGTACTGATGGAGCTGTTTCCCCAGCAGGGCACAGTGTCCTGGGACTAGGAGAGGAAAAAGGGAAGTCACTGAACCAACAGAGGCTTAGGTTTCTCTTGGTGAGTGAAGCAGAAAGACAAGAAGGCAAGGGCCGTAGTTCCAACGTGGCGTCACGGCACGTGGTAGGCCTTGATTCTAGGCTGGACAGAAAGTAGGAATTTAAAGAGATTAAAAAGAGAAGAGTGATGAGAGCCAGAGGATTGGAAAATTCTAAATGAGGGCAGGGAACAGGTGTCAGGCAATAAAGAGTGTAGTGATTATGGAAGTGCTTACTTACCTTCTCATATCCTGTTCTGAACCTCTGGTCACTTAAACAGGGTGCAAGTTTTCACATGTGGTTTTAAAAACTGTCAAGCTGTGTGGACATTTGTCTTGATGAATTTATTTTCAGGTGTTTTTTTTTGTTTGTTTGTTTGTTTGTTTTGAGACGGAGTCCCTCTACATCACCCAGTCTGGTGTACAATGGTGTGATCTCGGCTCACTGCAACCCCCACCTCCCAGGTTCAAGCAATTCTTCTGCCTCAGCCTCCAGAGTAGCTGGGCTTACAGGTGCCTGCCACCACACCCAGCTAATTTTTATATTTTTAGTAGAGACCGGGTTTTGCCATGTTGACCAGGCTGGTCTTGAACTCCTGACCTCAGGTGATCCACCCTCCTTGGCCTCCCAAAGTGCTGGAATTACAGACGTGAGCCACCGCACCCGGCCTATTTTCAGCATTTAGAGGTCTTTTTGATATGCTGGCGATGATCCATCTGTGGATGGATGAAAATCAAGCCTTGAAATAAAAGTCAGATTATTGATGTTTAAATTCTTACTTTGCTACATCTTTTTAAGATTTTCTTTTGTCTATGAAGACAAGGAGAAAGATGGGATTTCAAGGGAAGTGCTTTTCCTTTCAATGGAAAAAAAATCGGATATGTTTATGTAACATTTGGAAGTCCTGAGTTTTAGGAGAGTATTTCATCTGACAGAAATGAGTTAAATTATTGAAAAGAATTTCTTTCTTCCCAGCAGACCACGGACAGTAACTTTATCCATGACCTGATAATTTATAAATATTTGGGAATTTGTCAGGGTTAAGGAGTTAAATAATTTGTCCTTTGAATTAAATATGAAATTATGTTTATATTATTATGTTATTGAAGATCTAAATAAAATATCCACCTATATTAAGAAGTTTAATTCAATTATAAATATAAAAAGCCATCTATCTCTGTTCACTAATCATCCTATAGCTGTATAAATGAACCATTATACATATGAACATTTGATAGTGTGACTTGAGGCAGATTCAATGTTAATACGAAAATTCTAATACTTAGGCAAAACACAAAAGAACCATCAAATGTAAAAAGAAACCTAACAATGCCACAGTGTGGACATACTTCTTAGGCTTTGAAGGCAGGTCTGTATCAAGGAAAGCAGACTCTTGGATAGATCTTAGGTATTTTGTGAGGTTTTAATCATACTTTTATTTTATAAATTGAATTTCAAAATTCAGCTTTTCTTTTTTTTTTTTTTCCCTCAAATAGTTCAGGTCCAACCATTGTATATGAGGACTAATGGCAGGAAATGGCCCTTTTGTAGATTCCCTTCCCCTCCTCACCCATCTCTCCCTTAAACTGAAGATCATGGTTAAGCCCTGGACATTCACATCCAGAAAATACTGTTTGGTTTTGAGTTGTTTGTGCAAGCCAAGGTTACGCTGCACTTTTGAATTAAAGTGCTATCCGAGTTTTCTCAAGAGCCTTAGAGGGGAAGGCTTGAACCCTCCACTTACAAAACAACTGAGGCTTTTTTTTTTTTCCTACAGAATCAACTCTCAGGTGTGATGGGTTAGTCCCAAGGGTTATGTAGTAATGTTAATTTTAAAAGTCCTAAAGGTTATGTAGTAATGTTAATTTTAAAATCTATATTCAACTTTGAAGGAATATCACTTACTCTTTTAAACTTGTCTTCTCGTTGCTGTAGCGCATAAAGTCAGGCAGAGATGGCAGTGGGGGCTCCCGCGGCAAAAGAGAAGGAAGTGCTAGCGGTGGTAAGTGTTTTCTCTTTCCCTGAAAAACTGCGTTTCCACATTTCTAGTATGTGGGTTTCTAGAAATATCTCACAATAATCTAAAGTATTCTTATGTGTCTCTCAGTTTGTTTTATACACAGTAAAACCTCACATTAATTAATTTGGTAAGCAGTCTGATATGTAAATAAGTATTTGTAAATGCTAGCAGATTTTCTTAAATAACCATGCTTGTTTTAGCTAATTGATTAATAAACAAGTTTTTCATTTATTAATCTGTCAGGTTGGACAGATTATCATAGATGGGCGTACTTAGGAGGTTTGCTATATTACGCTTTTAAAATTTCCATTTGAAGGAAGTGCCATGAGAAGTAGGATGGTCTTACAGAATGCTGGCAGCCCTCAATCTTGTAGTGTAGAATTAGTGACAAGCTAGGAATTGGGAGACATAGTGTGAGTCCCACTCTTGATTGTGACAGTGTATATATGTCTTTGGACCAACCACATAAATGCTATAGGCTTTTGGTGATTTCTGAAGTTCTTTGCATCTCTAAAATTATTTTACTCCTTGTGACATCATTACATAAGACATTTTATTGAGTTTTCCATCCCTTCTTCCCATCAACAATCTACCTTCTTTCTCTACTTCAGGCAGGCAGTGTAAGTTAAACTTAGTAGAAATTTGGTGATTTTAAAGAAGCTAATTTTAAAAATAAATGTCGAATTGGGGTGTATAAATATACCTGCATTCTCTCCTATCCATACTCAGCACTCTCATGCATATATGACCCAGCTCTATGTAACTATCCAGCTGCATTCTGTCATATCTGTTTGTGATGTAGGAGTCAGGACAAAGACAAATGTAGCTCTCAATTAGGTAGGCCTTTCATCCATTCACAGTGTTTATTGGATGCATACTATGTGCCACACACTGTGCTAAGAGCCAAGGACACGGGAACAATTAAGACGTGGTCCCCACGCTCAAAGAAGTTAGAATCGAGTTGGAAAGACACACAGCTTCTAATGGTGCTGTGGATGCTGCCACGGTAGAGAAATGTGCATGAGTTTTCAAATTTTCCTGGGGATAGAAGCTGCAGTTGGGACGAAGACTCGTTGAATTCAGAGCTGTGCTTTGAAATGCAAGGAGTCTTCGTCCCAACTGCAGTCAAATTCAGTTTATAACTTAGTAGGCAGTTATAGGCATAAGTGGCATCGGGTTCTAGCCAGGCCACTTGATTCCCCAAGAATCTGTCCAGCGTCTCCAGCTAAACCTCATGGTGCTTGCCTGTTTACCTTCAGGAGCCATTACCCAGAGCTGGAGAAATCAGTAAAAGCAGCATTGAGCCCAAGTCTCAAGAGTAGCATAGGCAGTCTGTCACATCAAAGAGTAGCCACTTCCACTTCTTTAGCCACCGTGGTCCTGGTGGATACTCCTGTCTCCTTGCTCTTCCCTAGCCCCAGATGTCTCACACACTCCACTTTAATGGATCCGTGTGACTATCTGGAGTTGGATTTAGTCAGAGAGATCTGGCCCAGCAGTTCTTCTTAAACCAGAGACCGCCATAAGCCCACAGCTCCTTACCCAAAACCCCTGGGACCAGATGTGTTGTGAAATTCAGAACCTTTTGGAGTTTCGAAAGCAAGATGATGTATTAGCCATGTATCACATACTACCCAAGGAGAGCACCTCAGACATACTAATTCAGTGAAGCATGAATATTCACACTGAGGATAAATAAAGACTATAAATAGCCTCAAATCAAGTCACGTTCTATATCCAAGAAGTTTATATATTGCCACCTGAAAAGTTGGCTTTCAGAGCTCTTTGGAATTTGGAATTGTAGATGAGGGATCATGGATGTGTACCAAAAATGTTCTTAACAGCCAAGAAGTCCACAGACTAGGCATTGTGCAGCAGTCAAAAGCAACTCTAGACAGCTCCCCAGACTAGCACAGTGCTGCTTGTTCATCCTTGCTCTTAGGAAGCGGGAAGTACGTGACATGAGCTCTCTTGGAAATAACTGTCCCTTTAAGGAATAATTGTCTTGAGTAACCCCTAAGGAAGTATTAAGTATTAAAATTCTAGGGCCACATTCACCATCCCCTAAGGATTCTGCATTTCTCTCTGAAAATCTTAAGTTCAGAATAACCAACCAGTTCCTTCTAAACATCAACAAACTTATGTTAAGTTCGCTCAGCCTTCCCTGGTAATTCATAAGTTTATAAAATCTCTCCCCTTAACTTAAGCCTTAGTTTCCCAGATGTCATCACTTTGAAAATCTGCCTCAGACACATCAGGACCTTCTAATGAGATGTGATAGCACGCCCGAAAAACTGCTGAATGGTGTGGTGCTTCCCTAGAGCCCAGGGGACAGTGTCCAGGGTCCCACCTCCGAGAAAGTAACCCCAGGAAGACTGACAGCTGCCTCTCGGAAACCGATTGATCAGTGTGCCTCAGGCCACCACAGGGCCAGATCCTCTGACATGGAGAATTGCCCAGCCTCCCTGGTGACCTTTCCCATAGCCTTCCTTCAGTCATGCAGGCATCAGAGCACAGAGAGGCCTTTACCCGGCCAGGGACCTCCTCCACGGTCAGGAAAGAAGGGACTGACAATGAAGAGAGGTAGGACCATCCCAGATCTGATAACCTGTGTGCAGGAAAAGAGGGGCCTCCCTGTTGAAGAGTCCCCTTCTGGTCCTGGCCTCCCGCTGCTGCTTTTTCTTTTTCCATCCATTGTCCTTTTCTTCTAGTCCGTTTCAGTCCAACACAAATAGTCAGCTCTAGTGCACAGATAAGCTTTCTTCTCATGAGGGGCTTCCGGCGTGCAAACTGTGCTCTCATAATTTTACAAGCAGGATTGCATGTTACTAGGTTCTTCTGGCACAAATTTAAAGCACTCATCCGTCCCTTCCTAGGGTGCTTTCCCCCATCATTTGCCTTTTCGTTCCTTATTTTCTGACATCTTGAGTTATACATCATCCCAGACTTTTTCATTTCATCCTGGAGCCCAGTGTGAATGTTGCTTTCTGTGGCTGAGCTGGTTCTACCCTGACGCTTTTGCAGGAATCGTGTTTTCTGTCCCGCTTCTCCAGTTCTCAGCACAGGCCACACTCCAAGGCTGGCCCTGGCTGTGAAGTCGGAATGAACCCAGGCTATGAGGCTTCTCTCCCTTTCTCCTTCCTTTTTATTTCAAAGTCTTGATAGTTAACGGTATTTATATTCTCTGCAGATAAACTGATGAGGGGAGTAACTATATTCTGCCTGTTGTCGTGGTTGAATTTTGTTAAAGGTCGAGAAATTGACAGAACACATCTGCTTCTCACGTGTAGCTGTCCTCAAGACACAAGAATTCCTTCTTGGGTGGCATTTTCTTTTTTTTATTATTATTATACTTTTAAGTTCTAGGGTACATGTGCACAACATGCAGGTTCGTTACATATGTATACATGTGCCATGTTGGTGTGGTGTGCTGCACCCATTAACTCGTCATTTACATTGGGTGTATCTCCTAATGCTATCCCTCCCCC